CAGTTTTTCATTGGAACAAAATATTATATAGTGAAATCTGATAAAGAAACCATAAAAACTAAGACAAAACAATCACTCAGATGCAAGTTGGTACTTACCAGTTTCACCACCAGGTGGCTCATTCGGGTCAGATAGCATGGCGGGTATAGTAGGAAGTTCCCTTTAACTTAAACTTTATCAGTTTTAGTGGTTGAATTTTCATATCACCCTTATGTATCTAATAATAGTTATGCAAATTGAAGTAATGTCCAGTAAAAGAAAATATTATCTGTCCAATACAGGAAAAGATTAATCACTTTTTGTGATTTTATAACATTTTATAATATTGGGAATCATAAGTCAAATTTTCCAAAAAAAGAATTTTTTCAAAGTTGATGAACAATTTTCAAAACCATATTTCTACTTGATGTACTTTTACATGTAGATTTCAAATATGACATCACTTTGACTGAATTTTGACTATTTAATGACGTAAATCAAGATTATTTTTACTCGCATCTAGTCTATTGCATAATGTTTTTACATCAGATATAAATGGTCTTTAGATTTGGAAAAAAGTTGAAAAAATAAGTTGATCATGCAAAGTGGGGACTTATTGCAAAAGATATTCTGGTATAGCCGTGGCAATGTTCTTTCTTGTGCAAGCATAACCATGGCCCATTTTAATATTTTCACACATAGCTAGGCAAGGTGTGTCCAATTCCAGCTAATCTTATCACACTATTTCACATAACTGCATTCCATTATACAACCTATCACACAGTTGCCAACTCCCGATTTAAATCGGGAGATTCCTGTTTTTTAACCCATCACCTGCGCAATTTTGCCATCTCCCGATTTTCTAATTTTGTAATTTTTCATCATCTCCCGATTTTTTCTCCCGATTTCGCAAAAAACTTCGCATGTTTTAGGTAAAAATCCCCCGATTTTTTCTGTGTCCTCCCATTTTTTCCTCCAACCTCCCGATTTTTAACTTGAATCCGAGTACTCATCGATCGTCTCCAGTATCTTACATATAAGTCAGCGACATCTAATCATGAAAAACAAAGTTAATCTAATATAAATGTCCAATCAACAACAAGGAAATTAGCGCACGCGCAACAATTTTAATCAGTAAGAGCGAATCAGTCCTTTATTACGATCCTAGCGCATGCCTATTACATAGATAATCTCCTGAGTGGAGGCGATAAGAATCTGCCCAAGTATGTCCGTGAAACGGGGTAAGAATAATTTTGTCTATTTATGCACGATTGCGTAAGCCTACCAAGATTAAGCATGTATATACATTAAGAGAAATCATGTTAAATAAGTTTGAATAATTTTACCATTGAAGTTTGTCAAAGATTGAGATTTATAAGTCACATTTACGGTAAGCTTTTTGATTTTTCCATCCTGGACCAAGGAGGATTGGCTCCCAGGATGCAACATCGATACCGATACTCCCTATGTCGTGACTACAAAATATCCTGTTTCTCTTGTTTTTAAGGAAAATATACTGTTTTCTCCTGTTTTAAAAGAAAATACCCTGTTTTCTCTCTGTTTTCTCATGCTTTTAAAATAAATTGTTTTCTCCTGTTTTTAAAGAAAATCTCCTGTTTAGACTGAAAATCTCCTGTTTTCTCCTGTTTTTAGATGGTAACTTGTTTTCTAAAAGAAACCTCCTGTTTTCTCCTGTTTTTTAAAAGAAGTCTCCTGTTTATTCCTGTTTTTTCAGTAAAAGTCTCCTGTTTTTCTCCTGTTTTTTGCAAAATATCTCCTGGATTCTCCTGTTTTTTTTAAAAAAAACTCCTGTTTTTTTTCTCTGAGAGGTTGGCAGGTATGCTATCACCGCATCCAAAGTCACCTTTCTTTTTGTTTTAGATTCTAGTGAACTAATGAAACCGATAAATTGATCAATTTCATAGTTGAGTAAAAATCTGTAAATAGTATCAGTGAATAACAAGCTACATGCTTATTCAGGTCTAATGGTAAGCGTTGTCAGGTTGTCAAGTATCCATGATGCTGACTGACACAAAGAAAAGTTGCAACTTGACCCTTGCAAAAAGTTTCCTTGAAAATATATTCTTTTAAGTCATTTCATATATTTTAAGTGATATTGTCTAAAATATTTTGCAACGTTTGAAAAGAATTTAAGATCACTCAAGTATCTGCATCTAGTGCAAGATTTGGGAAGCAACACCTTTAAGGAATGGTCATTCCACATTGCACTGAGTCCAGGGCTTAAAGGGTTCCGATAAGCTTCCCGTATAAAAACAATATGGCGGCTTGTCGCTCCAGGCGAGTCAACTGGATCTGTCCATTTTTAAGAAATAAGGGGAGTTTTGAAAAATCCAGTTTATTATGTCATCACCAAAAAAATGATGACATATTGTTATGGGCTACGTTTTTCTTTTGACGGCGGATGGCGATTGGCGATCAGCGGTTGGCGATCGGCGTCTGTAACAATATACAACTTCCAATAACTTAACAACTACTGTGTAGACTGACTTCAATTTTTTTCGTCTACAAGTTATCAGAAGTTCAAATCTGACATTAAATTTGAGATTTGACCTTCAATGACCTTCTCAAGGTCAAAAAAGGTCAAAAAGGTATCTTTTCAACTTGCTTCAAATTGACCAATTTTTTCGAAATTAACTACAAGTTCTCAGAAGTTCAAATCTGACTTTAGATTTGAGATTCCACCTTCAATGACCTTCTCAGGGTAAAAAAAGGTATTTTATCACACCATCGGTGGGATATAGTCGTCATACTGGTCGTGGTCGTGATCGTGGTCGTGATCGTGATCGCGATCGTCCCGCTTTTTGTCATCGCCGTTTAAGGAAAACTGCTCATCAGATTTTCTCCAAATTCGCAGAGATGATAGAGCATATGAAGTACTAGAGCTGATTTACTTTTGGGTGGCCATCTTGTTTTCTGGCGGCAATTTTGAAGGTTTTTCGAAAAATCTTGTCATTGCCATTTCAGGAAAACCACTCTTTGGATTTCCTTCACATTTACACAAATGATATAGGATATCAAGTACTAGAGCTGATTAACTTTTGGGCGGCCATCTTGTTTTCTGGCAGCCATTTTGAAGATTTTTCGAAAAATCTTGTCATCGCCATTTCAGAAAATCCGCTCATCGGATTTCCTTCAAATTTACACACATGATAGAGGATATAAAGTACTAGAGCTGATTAACTTTTGGGCGGCCATCTTGTTTTCTGGTGGCCATTTTGAACGTTAACAAAATCATCTACAAGTTCAAAGAAATTCAAATCTGACTAAGATTGAACTCATAATATTGTGAGCAACATTTTGTCATGTTAATGCCTTGTTGAAATTGTCTTGGAGATAAATCCATTTATAATGATTCTGAAAACATTATTGAGAGAGTGATTGTTCAAAGACCGCATGTAGAACAGCCAATATAAATCCTTGTATTAGAGCTGCTTTGTTTCATTTGGAGAATATTTCATATGCCAAGCTGTGTACTAATACGTTATGGGGAAATTTTAGATGTCAATTTTTCCTTTTTTAATATAGTAAATTCCTGTGGTTGTGCCAAAATAACACTAAACGAAATAATACAATAATGCAATGTAATTGTGAAAAGTACAGGTGGTCAAAAAATGGAAACCCTTACACCATTCTCCTCTTATCTTTGTCATTTTTAGAAATCACTCCCTGATATTTTACACATTTATACATAATTCAATTTCCTACCAGCCCACTATATATCATGACCATCAGATTGGTAGTCACAGTGTTACAGCATTTTAAAGAACATGCCTTAGTTGCCACTTTTGCAATGTCGGGAAACCTTCAACGGTGTTTGTCCAAAACCTGTGGAGATCTAGCAGAGATAGTATGTATGAGAATGACCTCAGGACAATTGCAAACCTCAAAAGTGAGATTGTCCGTGTCATTCAGGCTATACCTGCTGAGGAATGCATTTGTGTCATTGACAACTGTGCAGGTTTGCCTACAGTGCGATGATGGCCAAACCTGAATTGTATTGTATTGTATTTTGTTTACCACCAATGAAGGTGAGCAATACCTCTTGGGTATGTCCTGTATATATACGGATGTAATTTACGTCATTAACATGGAAGATAGACCCAGAAACCCCTCCTTGAAGGAGTCCTGTGTTCTTTTATGTGCACTTATATATAGACATACAAGTACACACCACAGCCTTTTGTACAAGTTGCGGACCACTCAGTCAAACACCCTGAAGTACTTCACGCAAACAAGCAAATTTAGTCTTGCCTGAACCGGGGATCGAATCCGGGACCTATTGCGTAAGAGGTACCTGTGCTACCGTTGAGCTACATGGGTGAAGCATGTTATTCAAAGTGCTGTAAAATTGTGACTTTAAGTCTGATAGTCATGAAATATGATAGGGTGGTAGGAAATTGAATGAAGCAAATATGATGCAAATCATTTCATATCATAGGTAGATATTTACCTATTGTACACTGATGAATGATTTGTGATCAGCTTGACATCAGCTATTTACACCCTATGTGTTGAATAAAATCATATAACACAGTTAGTGATAAGCTACCAAGATGTCAAGGCACTCCTTTTAACATTTTATGAAACAATTATAATATAAGCTTCATATGGATTATTATTTAGCATGTGTTTCGACGGTCATCTCACACCTAAACTTTGGTTGAATCTATTTATAGTCCCTGAGTATGGACACCTGCGCACTCTATATAGTTTCGCACACTTTAAGATCATAAATGGAACTTTAGTTGGCAGATAAAGGACATAACATACATGATATTATTTGAGTTGTGTTATCTTCGTGTATTTATCATGTGCACCATACATATCCTGAATCAATCATGAGGTCATATTGAAAGAAGTAGGTTTGGTAGTTTGCACTGTGCATATTAATTTCAGTGTGGTGACATTTAAAGATGGTTGAAAATGTGAAATATATACATGTATATTTATATAGATATATAGTACTATAATATGATTTCAATTTTAAACATCCTTCCTGCTTTTTTTATTAAAAGGTTAAAGTTAGCTTTAGTATGTACATTTGCATTCAAATCTTCTGATGTAACAAGTACATCAACCATTCTCTTCTGGTTTCTTTTATTCTGACTATGACCCTCCAAAGACCTTCCATTTGGCGAAAGATGGGACCATTCCTAAAGTTTATTCTGACATATGAAGTTGTGCCATTGCTAAAGTTTTCAATTGTTTTCTATCTTAAATTTTATTTTCTACCTTGAATATTGCAAATTGTCTTTGTGGAAGAAGGAACCTTTCTTAAAAGTTTATTCTGACATATGAAGTTGTGCCATTGCTAAAGTTTTCAGTTGGCCTCTATCAATTTTACCATTTGGCCGGAGGGGGAAACTGTCAACAAACACAAAGTATTTTGGCGCCATACTAATGCCATCGGCAGTCCCTTCCGCAGTGAACACCTCATCACACCAGCTTCTCATATCATCGGCAGTAAGGTTGGCATCGGGTTTCACTTCAATACAAGCACATATCTCCTCATAGAGCCTTTCATCTGGTACACCTACCACGTACACAGCTTCAATTCTCTCATTCGTAGCAAGGGTCTGTTCAAGTGGACCTGTAACTATTGCAAGCGTACCACGTTTAATCATGTCTTTGCAACGTCCGAATATGTACAGTCTTCCAGCAGAATCCATTTCCCCAATATCTCCTGTGTGGAACCAGCCATGCTCATCTTGGAATGCCTTGCTCACCCAGTTATGTCCCCTCAGGCATATTTCACCATGTTGACCGATGGGAATAACATAACCATTTTCATCAATCAATTTCACTTCAGTGTGAGGAATAGGGTATCCAACTGTAACGCAGCCATCCACTACCAGTGGTTCAGATATGCTTGTACTCAACACAGTACCACCAATTTCACTGGAGCCATACAAGTTTACAACTGTTAGCCCCTTGAAAATATCTCTCATTCCCTGCACAAGATTTTCTGGAACTTTTTGTCCACCGACAAATATAGTTTCCAGACTTGTGATGGTATCTTTCATCTTTAAGTCACTGTGTATGATATCATACATGAGATACGGCATGGCTATCATGTGTGTACAACCTTCAGATTTTATGCACTCAAGTATGAACTCAGTTTGTGTCCCACTTACAGTTGTACTTGTGTCAATCGATACGCCAGTTGTACCCATCTTGACCGCGCATACAGGCATCATGAGACCTCCGATCCAGGAGAGGGGGCGATCATTGAAGATTACGCTTTTTTCATCCATCCCACCTCTTAGACTACATGAGTAGTAGAATGAATTTAAAATAGCTTGGTGATTTATGTTGACTATCTTAGGTGTTCCTGTGCTACCAGATGTCAAAGCTACAAAAGCGCTATCTTCACAGTTTATTTTGAACATATTCTTGATGACATCATCAACTTCAGCAGGTGTTGGTGTATTTAAAAGATCATCAAATGAATGAGTCCCATCAAAAGACTTGCCAATTGAAATTATCAATGGCTTTTCGATTTCATGTAATCCAGTATCCTGATTCAGCACTTCTTCCAAAACTCTGTTTGCCATAGAACTGCTATCATTATATATGAAAAGGCCTCTGCATTTAGTACTTTTTATTTTACTGATAATGTCCTCCCCACTTTTTAGTTCGTAGCTAAGGAAAACAGCAGTAGCCCCGATATAGAAGACACCCCATGCAGCGATCAGAAACTCATTACAGTTAGGTGCCAATATAGCTACATTGTCACCAAGGTTGATGCCAAGTCTCTTCAATGCTGCCCCAATCTTTCTTGATTTACTTTGCCATTCTTCGAACAGCATCACATCTCTCGCTTTGTTTATTGAATGATAAATTATTGCTTCTTTTTGGGGATATTTCATGGCGGTGTCATCCAGAGCTTCAGCCAGGGTTACTGTTTCGAGGGGAATACTAGACGCCCCATGGATATGAGACCTTGTAAGAGGCTTGTTAGGTAGTGTGATGCCAAATCGGCTCTGCATCCTGACTCATAAACCTAAAATTGCATTTACTAATATTAGGGCTAACCAAAATTTTCAAAAAGGCCTAAGTTAGCTTTGATGTCCTTTTTAAGAACCCCTATTTTTGATATTGAAAATGGATTCTATCAATACTCTCCCACATGAATCTACTTGTTGAGACTCGATAAACTTGAGTTGCAGGGCCGTAGGGAGAGGGGGTTTGGAGGGTTTGTGGAAACCCCCCCCCAAAAAAAAAATCTTGACTAAAAAAATTTGCACATACCTTTTCTGGTAATTGTGCGAACCCCCCCCCCAAATTTTGAGTTAGTATTTTGCAGTAATTCAGTAACATATTGTTTTTTGATTACCTTAGATATTCGAGGTATATGCAAAGATGGAAATGAAGAGTCATTTTCAAAATTGTTTTCTTTCATTGGAACTCACATTTTTGCTAAATTTTTGCCTCTTTTCTATTTGAAGAGCACATTGTGCAAGTAATGGAAAATAAAAGACAATTGAATTACACACCCTATGCTTGATTTAAATTGGGGGGGAGTCTATGTCTGATAATGTCCTTGAGCTATTTATTTTGGATTTATATTTCTGACCTATGGGATATTTCACTGGCAAAAAATTAATACAATTTAAGTAAATTTGGCAAAATTTAAGTAAATTTAGCAAAAGGAGGAGGGAAAGTATGGCAACAGATTTCAGACAGTCATATGTTGGATTTGGGCTATTTTGAGGATTTAAACAGGTGCATATATTAGGCCAATGTATTATCTCCAGGAAAAGCACTCATAGAGATGATAAAATAATTTTGGCTTTAAGACAGGGAAGATGCAAACAACCCACCCACATGTTTTTTCTGAAATATTGTCCTGATTTTCAATCCCTTCCATCCCTGCTTTTTCAATTTTTGTTGTATCAATATGTTGCGTTTTAAGACACAGTAAACCCCTTTAAAGGAATAAGTAATTCATCTTATTTAACATTTCCCATTTCCCAAAATTTAAGCAAGTTAGGCAGAGATTAAGCAAATTTCTCCAAATTCACTGTTAGGTCGCTCCAAAAAATCAAATCCTGGCTACACTGAGTTGTACTTGGATAATGAGGATTTTATATTTATCCCCATGATGACATATATTCATAGTACATAATGATATGCAGTTTTTACAAGTCAGTTGTATCCCCTATTAAGTCGATGCACCCTTTGCTGAAATCCTCATTTTCTCAGAAGAACTCAAGTTGATTGAGTCATCTCATGTGGGATAGTATTGCTAAAATCCATTTTCAATAGTAAGAATAGGGTTTCCTAAGCAGAAAAGAACCATGTAAATTTATACTTAAAATATTAAAAATCTTACCTACATTTTTTAAAATTGCATATTATTAATACACACCTTTTCTTGATTAAAGAATATCCAGCCAAATAATGTCCAGGTTCGCAATCTGCACTTCTCAACTGATATACTTATATTCATTACTTATTAGCTACTAAGGTTTCTTGGCACTCCATTTAACATTTCATATGATATTACACTCACTTTATTGTTTATAAGTAAAGGTCTAAACCCATTTTCATAGTTATTCTATACACGATTCTTTGAACACAGACCAATCATACTTGGTATTTTACGAATTTTGTTGATATCAGTTGATCATAAATAACTTCGACTTCATGAGTAACTTTCTTGGCACATATACTGCCACTTTGGCAAATTCGAATCTCAAAAATGATTTCAACATTACATGACGCTACATGTTCAATATAGATATACCGGTATGTATATATATTGGTGTAATATAGATTCACACATAGCTACATGTAGGCAAGGTGTGTCTGATTCCAGCCAAGCCGAACACCGTATTTCACATAACTGCAGTGCATTATATCACCAATCACCACATTCGAAATCACTTGTTAAACATTGGTCAAGGTAACAAGTTGAAATTGATGCTTTGACAACTTGACCCTTGCAAAAAGTTGAAAATATGTTCTTTAAGTGATTTGGGATCTTTTAGGTGCTTTCGTATAAAAAATATTTTTCAATGTGTGAAAAGAATTGAAGCCCAAGACTCAAAATGCATTGTGGCTGCACAGTCATGCAAAGATTAGGAAACAACACCTCCAATACACAGCCAATAGTGAGAGTGAGAGTGTGAGAGTGATTCAGCACACATTGCATTGTCCAGGGCTTGATTCATTTAGTAAGCGTGGATATGGTGCATGCCTATTTCAAAGTTTGTTGCTTTTGTTTGTTTTTGGTTTGTTTATTTGAAACAGAGAAAACAAGTTGATGGCTAAAGAATTTCACTCCAGAGGACAATTGGAAGCATTCATACAAGAAATTATTGTAGCTTTTATAATGTATTTACTATTTTTAAAATTAAATGACGAAGGGAGTGCCACTCTTATCTCATTCAGTGCAGACGGTAATCTACAAGTGTCATAAACATGTTACAACATAGTTTTATTACACAGGGCTTCAATATGTAAATCAAAGGGCATGTAAATTCATGTACAGCAGCATTTCTTGAACAATTGATTTTTATTATTTCATTTTTATTCATTTACCTCTTTTTCTGATAAAATAATACTTTCACATTGACATTCTATATGGTAATGGTCCCACTTTATTTACTAAAACTTGTACAGACTTTTGGTTTCTAGTTTCTGATTTGGACAATGCTTGATATATTTTGATAAATACAATATTGTAATAGGCCACGGTTACACCAGATGATTGCACAAGATATAACATTGCCCTGGTTACACCAGATGATTGAACAAGATATAACATTGCCATGGTTACACCAGGTGATTGCACAAGATATAACATTGCCATGGTTACACCAGATGATTGAACAAGATATAACATTGCCATGGTTACACCAGATGATTGCACAAGATATAACATTGCCATGGTTACACCAGATGATTGAACAAGATATAACATTGCCATGGTTACACCATATGATTGAACAAGATATAACATTGCCATGGTTACACCATATGATTGCACAAATTGCCATGGTTATGCCAGACTATCTCTTGCAATAAGGGCTACTTTGAGGGTGATGGGTGACATTTGGTCATAGAGATGGCAACTAAACCAATCATTTCCAGATACAAGAGCAAACCTAGGGCCAAACTTGGGTTAAGTTTTCAGCACTCTGGTTTTTCTTTATAAGGCAGCTACTTTTATTTCTTTAATGTTTTTCTAAGAATGATACAAAGTGTCCCATTTTTATTGCCCACCCTGTATATTGATTTTCGAGATTTCTATAAAGTGAAAAACATGTTTTCATGGTAATACCAATATGGTATAAAGAGAAAAAGCATTTTAAGTACCAGTAGTATAAAATAAAAATATGTCTTTGATTACAAATGTTTTCTAGGTACTCAAAAGAGAAAAAAGGTCCAAGTAATCCACTGCATCAGAATCATCTTTTGTTTGTTCAACAAGAGAAGTGGCAGAGGGAGTTATTTCTGCAATATGGAGATAACGTCACCATACTAGATGCAACTTTTAAAAGTGTGAAGCTCAACTTGCCACTATACTTCCTGTATGTGCTCACAAATGTGGGCTATATGCCAGTCGGTAAGTCAGTCAGTTTATGCCCCCATAAAAACATGCGCAGAAACATTTAGAGCTAACCAAAAATTTCAAAAAGGCCTAAGTTAAGCTTTAATGTCCTGTTTAAAAAACCTATTCTTACTATTGAAAATGGATTCTGCAATACTCTCCCACATGCATCTACTTGTTGAGACTTGGTCAAGAACTTTTGGTTGGCTCTAATTGGCTATATGCCAGTCAGTAAGTAATTCTGTATAAACTCTAGTTCTTGAATTTGACCATTCCATTTGACCATGCCCCCTTTCAGGTCAACATAAAGTACATATCAGTGCTTGAAGGCATTGATGAAATAATGTACATAGAGGATAAGCCCATTTAAAATGTTCAATAGAGAAGCCCCTTTAAATATGTTTCTTTTGAAATTCCTAGGTGGAAATATACAATAGAGGACAATCCCCTTTAAATGTATTTCTTGTTCATTCATACTTGAAAATATGCAATAGAGGACAAGCCCCTTTAAATGTGTTTCTTGTTCATTTCTAGGTGAAAATATAAAACATAGGACAAGCCCCTTTAAATATGTTTCTTCTTTATTTCTAGGTGAAAATATGCAATAGAGGACAGCCCCCTTTAAATATGTTTCTTGTCCATTCCTAGGTGAAAATATACAATAGAGGACAAGCCCCTTTAAATATGTTTCTTTTGAATTCCTAGGTGGAAATATACAATAGAGGACAATCCCCTTTAAATGTATTTCTTGTTCATTCATACTTGAAAATATGCAATAGAGGACAAGCCCCTTTAAATGTGTTTCTTGTTCATTTCTAGGTGAAAATATACAACATAGGACAAGCCCCTTTAAATATGTTTCTTCTTTATTTCTAGGTGAAAATATGCAATAGAGGACAGCCACCTTTAAATATGTTTCTTCTGAATTCCTAGGTGAAAATATACAATAGAGGACAAGCCCCTTTAAATATGTTTCTTGTTCATTTATAAGTGAAAATATGCAATAGAGGACAGCCCCCTTTAAATATGTTTCTTGTCCATTCCTAGGTGAAAATATACAATAGAGGACAAGCCCCTTTAAATGTGTTTCTTGTTCAATCCTAGGTGAAAATATACAATAGAGGACAAGCCCTTTTAAATATGTTTCTTGTTCATTCTGCGGTGAAAATACACAATATAGGACAAGCCCCTTTAAATATGTTTCTTGTCCATTTCTAGGTGAAAATATACAACATAGGACAAGCCCCTTTAAACATGTTTCTTCTTTATTTCTAGGTGAAAATATGCAATAGAGGACAGCCCCCTTTAAATATGTTTCTTGTTCATTCCTAGGTGAAAATATACAATAGAGGACAATCCCCTTTAAATATGTTTCCTGTTTATTCTTAGGTGAATATATGCAATAGAGGACAATCCCCTTTAAATATATTTCCTGTTCATTCTTAGGTGAAAATACACAATAGAGGACAATCCCCTTTAAATATGTTTCCCGTTCATTTTTTAGGTGAAAATATACAATAGAGGACAAGCCTCTTTAAATATGTTTCCTGTTCATTCTTAGGTGAAAATATACAATAGAGGACAAGCCCCTTTAAATATATTTCCTGTTCATTCTTAGGTGAAAATACACAATAGAGGACAAGCCCCTTTAAATATGTTTCCTGTTCATTCTTATGTGGAAATATACAATAGAGGACAAGCCCCTTTGAATATGTTTCTTGTTCATTATTAGGTGAAAATATAAAATAGAGGACAAGCCCCTTTAAATGTGTTTCTTGTTCAATCCTAGGTGAAAATATACAATAGAGGACAAGCCCTTTTAAATATGTTTCTTGTTCATTCTGCGGTGAAAATACACAATATAGGACAAGCCCCTTTAAATATGTTTCTTGTCCATTTCTAGGTGAAAATATACAACATAGGACAAGCCCCTTTAAATATGTTTCCTGTTCATTTTAGGTGAAAATATACAATAGAGGACAAGCCCCTTTAAATATATTTCCTGTTCATTCCTAGGTGAAAAAATACAATATAGAGCAAGCCCCTTTAAATACGTTTTCTGTACATTCTTAGGTGAAAATATACAATAGAGGACAAGCCCTTTAACTATGTTTCCTGTTCATTCTAAGGTAAAAATATACAATAGAGGACAAGCCCCTTTAAATATGTTTCCTGTTCATTCTTAGGTGAAAATATACAATAGAGGACAAGCCCCTTTAAATATGTTTCTTGTTCATTTCTAGGTGAAAATATACAATAGAGGACAAACCCCTTTAAATATGTTTCCTGTTCATTCTTAGGTGAAAATATACAATAGAGGACAAGCCCCTTAAAATATGTTTCTTGTTCATTTCTAGGTGAAAATATACAATAGAGGACAAACCCCTTTAAATATGTTTCCTGTTCATTCTTAGGTGGAAATATACAATAGAGGACAAGCCCCTTTAAATATGTTTCTTGTTCATTATTAGGTGAAAATATACAATAGAGGACAACCCCTTTAAATATATTTCTTGTTCATTCTTAGGTGTGATTATTGTTCAGGAGGAAACAGTGGAACACCTGGCTGAGGCTCTTAGCATAATACACAGTTGGCACAGTAAAGCTTGGTCTCCTAAATACTTCATGACAGACTTTGACGAGACTGAAATTGGAGCTATAGCCAAAGGTATTATTTAAGGATTTAAGCCTTGGGCTCAGTGCATTGTGTGCTGAACCACTCCCAAAGATGCTGCTTACGAATCTTTGCATGAGCCCGCAGGGGGAATGCAAAGTTTAGGAAACAACATCTGAGTGGAATGAAACAGCCACAATGCATTGAGTCTTGGGCTTTTCACACATTGCAAAACATTTTCTATAAAATCACCTTAA